AGCACGCGTGGCGCACCTCGCCCCAGCGTCGCGCATATGGATTCGGTTTTGGTTCCCAGTAGCTGCCATCAAAAGACGACCGCGAAACATGCTGAGGCTCGGGTGTTACTTATGCGTCGGGAGTGCGGGTGGAACTGAGCTAGACGGCTTGCTATCTAGGGGGTGTCTTGATCACTGTTCCCTACATCGGCGCTCCGAAAGTTGATTCCGACTTGAGAGGCACGGCGCCGCGCGAATGCAGCACAAACGCCATGCTGGAAGGGCGCGGCAATGCGTGCCCCCTGGACAGGCGAGAGCAGCCGCGCCCCCGTGCGAACCCCGATCCCGCGCGGGGCGCGCTCCCGTTGACAATGGCTCACCCGGGCAACCGTTTCTTGTGCAAAAAGTCCTGAGCGGTCTGCCCGTCGGCGGCTCCTTCGGACGAGGCCCGGAGCCACCGAGAAACCGTTCTTTTCATAGGAAGTTCTAAGCGCTTTGCCCATGTTCGGTCTCTTCGGAGTGGGCCCGAAGAGCTCGAGAACGATGTTTTTGCAAGGAGTCCGAGGCGGTCTGCATATTTTCGGGTCGTTCGAACCGGACCCGAAATCTGTTGTGGCACAAGTCCTATGGGATGTGGCCAGTTTCAGGTCGGCCGGTAAACGTTTCGGGTCGTCGTATGACCGAACCCGAAAGTTTGTTTCGAGGAAGTCTGATGCCGTTTGCTCAATTTCGGGTCAGTACACCGCTTGGGATGTAAAATCTTACATCGGGAAAGGAAACCCGATCCCGCGACCCCTGGCGGGGTTCGGCTCTGCCCTTGCATTGTACTGGCCCCCCCCCGGCCAGCCCATCGGCGCGCCGACTCTGCCCTCGCGGCATCGCCCCCATCCGCCCTCGGGCCCCGCGAGTCTTATCCTGCGCGCGCCAACCCAGATGACCGCGACGAGCACGGTGGCAAAATTGGGGAAACTTTCGGATCGGCGCAGGATTAATAAACACCCCCATCAGGCGACTGGTCGCCAACCAGGAACCATAAGGGCACACCCCCATCATCCCTAAAGAAAAATATATCTGCCTCCAAATTCGGAGCATGCGCAACCAACCCAATGCGGCCTCCTCCACCATCCCTGCCAAAAAAAAACAAAGTACACTTGGCGGCGGCGGCGGCGGCGGCGGCGGCGGCGCCGGCTGCGGCGGCGGCGGCTGCGGCGGCTGCGGCGGCGGCGGCGCTGGCGGAGGCGGCGGCGGGGGCGGCGGCGGCGGCGGCGGCGGCGGCTGCGGCGGCGGCGGCGGCGGCGGCGGCGGCGGCAGCGGCAGCGGCTGCGCGGCGGCGATTTGACAGCGACGGCGGCGGCGGCGGCGGCGGCGGCGGGCAGCGCGGCGGCGGCGGCGGCGACGGCGGCGGCGGCGGCGGCGGCGCGGCGGCGGCGGCGGCAGATTGGCTCCCAGTAGCTGATGCTGAGGTCGGGCCAAACTCGGGTGCTACGTATGTGTTGGGAGGGCGGGTGGGGGTGAGCGAGACGGCTTGCGGGCGGGGAGGGAGTCTGCCCCCCCCCACCCCCACCCCCACCCACCCCCGCCCCTGGACCTGGACGGGGCGGTTCGCGGGCAGTCGGAGCGCCCGAGACGGCCACGGCGAGGAAGCCCAAATCATTGGTTTTACTATGGCGCTGGCCCCAGTTTGGCCCCCTGCGTGGGCGAAGCTAATTTGGGAGCCCCCGTTCTTTGATCGATCCCCATCCGAGATGGCCCCAAGAGCGCCCCCAAGGCTCCTAAGGGCGCCCCGAGAGGGCCCCAAGAGGTGGCCAGGAGGCCCCAAGAAGTCCCCAAGAGGCCCCCCAGGATGCCCCCAAGAGGCCCCCAAGAGACCCCAAGGGGTTCCAAGAGGCCCCCCAAAAGGAACCCCAGACGCTCCAAGAGGCTTCGGCGAGAACGCCAAAATCATTGGTGCCACTAGGGTATGGGTCCAATTTGGGCCTCTTTGGGGGGGCACTGATTAAGACGACTCCAAGAGCGCCCGGGGGAACCCAAGATGACCTCCAAGATGACTCCAGATACCCCAAAATGCCTCAAGATGGCCCCCACGATGCCCAAAGAGGCCCCAAGACCGCTTCAAGACGGCCCCAAGTACCCAAAGAGCTCTCCCAGGAGGCCCCAGCGAAGCCAGAATCCTTCCAGAACCATTGGGAAATCAATGTGCTTGGCTTTCTCGCCTTTTCGCTTCCGATGGCCATCCGAAGCCTCAAGATGGCTCCAAAATTGCCCGAGAGGGCTCCGATAGAGAGGCTCAAGAAAGCCCCAAGACGGCCCCAAGAGCGCCCAAGAGCGCTCCAAGAGCGCCCCAAGAGACGACTGTCGGGGCTCCCGAGGGACAACGCTAATTAATGGAGACCGCCAAGAGGCCCCAAAAAGCTCTCCGAGGCACCCAAGACGCTCTAAGCGGCGCCCTGGACCGCCAAGAGGCCCCCAAGATGCCCCAGGAGGCCCCCACTGGGGGACCCTTCCTCTGCGCGCTGCCCAC